AAGTTAACATCTGATATCCGCACACATGTGTTCTTCGCTCAGATGAGCGCTCTTTAGTCAGATCTACCTTTACATTTCTGAGTGGTTCTGTCATTTCTTCATTCAAAGCCATTGCCGCTGTTCACAAAGGAGAAAAGCCCATATCTCATTGCCTATGAATGGAACTGCATAAAAGTTATGAGCTAGTACCCTCTAGGTACGAGGGAGAATTTGCCTCCGATACCAAGGAATCGCTAATTCCAAGGTGTGGGGGGGGGGAAGTCTTACGGGCAAACGCGGTGCACTCTTCATGACTGGCCAGGTCTCTACACTGACCCGCTCTCAAAGCGGCCCTTCAGGACTCTCCAGGACCGAACTAGGGGACACATCCCTTTCACCACGTGAACGGCTCTTCAGGGGACACCGAACTACCGGACAAAACAAAACACAAGAATAGACGAACTGGTTATAAATAGCAGGATGTTTTCATTACATGTTCACCTTTTCCTTCCTTTTTCAATTCTCCTGGCTACTTGAAATTCAACTCAATCACTCACCCGTTGCCATCTCACACACTAATACATCGTGTTCTTCGCCGGCTGGTACTCGTCGAACAAAGCTGAACATGTGCTCTGTTCGACGCGAAGGCCTGCATACCTGTATCGCATCTGTAAACGCGTGACATCAATATCACAGCCCTACATCAAAGGAAATGGGTTGGGCGTGGCTGTTTTGTTACTTTCATTCTATTATCATGATCGGACGTAGTTTTCATTAAAATATTTATTCTTATGGAGCATGGCCTGTCATCGCGGACAAATCAAGTACACTGGCTCCAAAGCTACAAGTATCTCCACCAAAGCGCATTCGCGACCGATGTGGCCATCAGGAAACATAGCCACGCGCCCATCTCCATACTCCGAGAATCTGAAGTGCAATGTTTATGAACCTATATGTGGAATTTTTTGCATTCCTCTTCTGTCCAAACATCTGAATTGCTGTTAAGCCCTCAATTTCAGAATACGAAATTCAAACGAATCAAAATGTCGCACATGTCCTCCCCATGATACAGCACCCGTTGAGAGAAACAAAAGGAAGGGAGCCAGGTGGAGTGAGGGGAGGGAGGACGTAGTTGTCCCCCCAAAAAAATCTAGGCGCCTCAAGGCGTCGTCATTGGCAGAATCCCGATAGTGGGGTCGTGAAGTCGTGTTGAGTGAGTGTTCCTTCCCGGTACGAAAGAAACTGTTCCGTCTGTGAGATTATACCCGTTTCACGTGCATTGAATCCCCCATTTTCCCCTCTCGATAGCAAAGTTTTGGGAAAATACCATTTGAACGGGTACAAGAGGAGGGAGGCAGGGGGGGGGGGGGGGAATTGAGTGGGAAGAGGGGGGAGGGGGTCGTTCTTTCACCAAATTTTTACAGTACAATCGAGTTTCAATTTCAAAATCAACCAAACCCTCTTTTCAGCATATTCTCAAAATTCCAACGAGTCCAGCACCCGTTTGTGCCACCGTAATGTGATGAGGGCGATGTGAATGATGAGACCGTCGGCCTCGTCTGTCACCTTTTTCATCCTTGCCGCCGGTGTGCCAGAACGTGGATAGAATTGATTGATGAAAAGTGACGGGAATTGGTAGTCACGGACGAGTTGCATGCTTTCCTCGAAATCCTCCTCAGTTTCTGTCGGGAATGCACAGATCATATCCGTCGCTATGTAGATATTCGGCACACTGTAAAGAGTACCTGCTCATAAAAATGAAAAGTTCTCAGCCTGCTACTACTTCTGCCTCGAAGGCCACTCAAGGTCATGCCACAGGCCCTTTCCTTGCTAGTGATGCAGGCCTTGACGTCGCTGTCCGCACAGCAAAGACTCACTGTAGCCGTGCCGGTCAGAATATCCACTTTGCGGTGTCGCGCAGAAAACAGAAAACACGCATCCGACGACATCGTTGCTACGTCCCATGTGGTGCATATAACGCATACATAGAGTGATGTACTGCTTGTATATTCTGCGGCGTCGCTCACGAGTCAGCCTACTTGGCCAGCTTACTCGGTCCGCCTGGTGTAATGGTTTATGGCAGCGCGCGCCATTTTTTCCCTTAGCTGCGCTTCCGTGCGTCAAGAAGCTACCATGCACTTACGCCTAGTTTCGTTAGGCTGTATTTATACTTTCCGGCAGCGTAGCGTAGCGCTTCCAGCGTACGCCAGCGGCAGTGCCGGGGAGAGGATGCATATCGATCTAGCGTTCCCAGCGTCACCAGCGTAACGCTAGCGTACGCTAGCGTTACGCCAGCGTTTCTCCAGCGTACGCTAGCGTTACGCCAGCGTTTCACCAGCGTTTTGCTAGCGTTTGCAGCGGCAGGGGAGTAGAGACTATGGGAGAGCTGGAGGGTACAAAACACATCGATTGCGCGTCTCTCACTCGCCTCAGTCTCTACCAGGGCACGCCATTGCGTTGTGATCATTTCCTGAAAAATACGAACCCCCCCTAATTCCATCTTCAAGTACGACCCCCCTCCCCATGTTACCTCTTCCCTAGACTTTTTTTTTTTCCAAACCTCCTACCACTTTGTCTACTTTTTCCCGAAAAATTTCTGGTTTTTTTTTACAAAATTCTGCTGTCGAGCGGAGGGGGGGGAGGTCGCAGTACCTACACTCTGGCGTCCAGCACTCTGGCGCTGGTGTAGCATACTGACAATACGTACGAGGAAGGGACGATGATAGGAGCTACAATCACCGCCCACAAGGGCACCATGAATTTATAATTAAGCAAAAGGACTCACGAGACGTGACGATTAATAAACGATGAAAGTACATTCCCGGACTTTTCTGATCGTAGGAGCACATTTGCTTGCAATTGGGAAGCCCTATCTAGAAGTTACACCTTCCAAACACCTGCCGGTGGTTGAAAGCCCCGTTTGGCATGTGCATGGCGCATTGCAGAGGTGATGCCAATTGGCGCCCAATGGCCTATTTCCTGATACCCTTTGCGAAAACATGTCTCTTAGAAGCATACCAAAGTCATCAAGCCAACCGGAGGTTTCATGGCCTCGGAGGGGTTGATTTTTCGGTGTCGTGGGGGTGATTACAAAATGATCACAACGGGGAATTTTTTCGAATAGTAGGTCTAGGAAGGAAATTAAAACCTTGCTGGAAAGTAGAAATCTTCAAGCTTCCGGCACAGTTCTTTTTTTACGAAAGGTCGTGTATGAAGCTTGCCATGGACGTCCAAAGCGTAGCGACTCGCGGTTCGCAAAAATGATCACAGATGGATCACAAAGATGATCACAACGGGGAAAATCTCTGGAACCGGAACGTTTTTGAAATCGCTCAATTCAGGTGATAAGAGCCAACCTAGCTCTACTCATTCCCACTTACCCCTCTCCGATAGCTTCACTTTCAACGAAGTTATGGGTGTTCAAATGAGGGGTACTTTTCACGTGTTTGGCTTGAAATTGGCTCCAGGCCGTAAAATAGCGCGCACCAATGAGCTTGTATAAGCGCGCTGACCGCGAACAGCCAAAATTCAAAAAGTAATCCATAGTTCCGGTTCCCAGCTGACCTGGTGAGTTTTTTTTCTTATCTTATTCTTTTTCTTATTTGATTGTGAGTTTTGATTGTTTGTTTTTTGTTGAGTTTGGTTTTGTTTTGTTGCGTTGATTTTTGTTGGTGAGGTAATTGCTCGGGATTTAATTTCTACGGTTTCTATAGGTAGCTTTTGCGATGGATTCTTTTCTAGATTTTGCAGATTAGTGGATTGGGATTTATCTAGACCAGATGAGGAGGGTTGGTGGGCGAAGTGTCTTGAAGTTTTCTGTGAGGAAGGTGGAAAAAGTTTCAGCAATATTTTTTTAAATTCTTGACTTAGGAATAGTTCGATAGTGCCTAGTTCTATTTATTGTCATCTACATCGTCCCTTTTGAGCTTCTTTTCACTTGTACCGTGTATCACCGCTCTCTCCACTTCAACATGGGCCATGCGTTTACGACCCCCCCCCTCGATCGCGGGCAAATACGACCCCCCTGTTGTGATGATCACAAAGATGGCGTGCCCTGGTCTCTCTACTATACACATCGATTGCGCGTCTCTGACGGCCACATAGTCTCTACAATAAACATCGATTGCGCGTCTCTTACGGCCGCTGGTGACGCTGGAAACGCTAGATCGATATCCATCCTCTCCCCGGCACTGCCGCTGGCGTACGCTGGAAGCGCTACGCTACGCTGCCGCAAAGTATAAACGTAGTCTTATCGGTGGTGCGTACTCTTTTGCTGAACGTCAGGGACCTGTCAGAGGGGCTGGGTGGCGTTGACCCGTTCTCCACCAATTGTAGAAGCTGTAAGCGGCAACTATTGGTGGAAATGGAGCTAACGTCGCGCCAACCAAGCCCCCTCACAACCCCCAGAATCCGCACGATCAACACGGAATACAGGCAGCATTACCTCCAACTGTTAAGGACTAAGAGTAAGGTTTCTGTAGCTTCCGAAGTACGCAATCTCATGCAGTCGCAGCTGTGGAGCATAATAGCGGAGAGGGACACACGGGGTCTCTGACAAGGGAGTAGCCGCGCTGGTAGGCTTGGCGAGCGACGTCGCGTCCGATAGACGAGTTGTCCTAGGACGCTCGTGAATTTGAGAGTTAGGGACAGGAAAATTCAATGCCGCTCGCCATGACCTCTTATCTTCGACAACACACGACATCCTCCTTGAAAACGACATCTATGATGCTCATCGAAAATTCGCCATTGCGCATTTTCGAAATTCTGTCGCATCACCGCGCGACGCGCCGCGCGCGACGACCGTCCAACCACCTCTCCCACCCATCTCCCGGATGCACGCTGCTGTGGCCTGATCCACCGAAAGAGTTGGCTCAACCAGCTAAAGATAGGCTACTTTGCTTACGAGACCGCGCCTCGGATGTTATGAACTACATCCGCCGGTCATGTGATACCGCTTTCACCGCGCGTCGCAACGTGGATCTCCTGACCAACACCCTCTCGTGGCTCTCTCTTACTGTCGTTCAATTTGAAAAATCGACCCACTTTTTCAACATGAAATCCATAATCATTCTGAAGTGATGACTTGAATATTCTCGTTTCATATCACGTAATACCGCGTCACTACCCGATTGTACAGGAATGTGAAGGAATGAATAGACTCGTGGGTGATTCAGCACTGCCGCGATTTCCTGTATATGTCTTTAATGACAAAACACAAAACATCTTTTGACATAAACGTAGCCGAAAATGGCATTAAATAAACAATGAGAATAGGAGTATGTCATCCTTAGAACATTACAACTCACTTCCAAGTAATCAAGTATGTAAGGCGGATTCGTCATTCCTAACCGCATCATGCATCCATCGGGAATTACTTTCACCAGTTCATTTAGCAGGTCGGGAAGAACCTACAATACATTGCTTGTAAGGACCTTCTATGACACATTCTATGTTAGCTGGAAGGGCGGAAACTCACAAACATTGTTTAGCCTGTCTTTAATGTCGTAGTAGAAAGGGGAAGGGGATCAATAGGGAAGACACAATGGTTGCGAGATTCCGCCCACCCGCTCATTGCGGAATGTGCATTTAATTGGGTGCTATATCACCCCATAGATATATTACCCTCTAGCAGTGAAAAACATCAAAATATAACACAATTTCCCAGACTTTGAGAGAAAAAAAAACAATTAGTAATTATCGCTTACCATGTCGATGTCCCTGCCCCAGGCGGCCCAAATATCCTCTGAAAGTGAGCACACTTCTTTGACAAGCCGATCGGCCTTTCGACATTAACGCTGTCCGAAGCCTGAAACAATCTGGCAGGTACCCAAGCGATAACGCCAATATTACTATGTATTAGAATGCTGTGAGGGACCGTCGTCTATGTCTGCCTCAGTACTTTTCCCCGTGCAGAGATAATTCAACTGTTTTCGAAAAAGGCCGCAGAACAGACCCAAAAAGCGCCATGAAAAAAGATCATTCATCGCCCGGCCGCGATCTTCCGGTCCCCCCTCCCGGGGGATGTGTGCTTTGACCGTAAATTACACGGTGAGAAATCGCAAAAGCGAGCAGGGAGTAAGTTGGCAGTCCGAAGGCAAGTTAGAAATCAAATCAGCACCAGAAAAAAACAAAACCAATTCTTGCCGCTGCCATAAGTGAAAACAAGGAGACGATATTCCAATTTTCAGCAGGCATCGAGGCCAATAAGTACCGCTGAATTGTGAAACGTAACATACCCCGTATTTTGGAGAATCCTCTGGCTTCCTCGCGCCATAAATAGGTATGGAGCTCGGAAAGAGAGCACGGCAAGTGCTGTCGAGGCAGCACTACTCCCCTCCCCCCTCCCCCTCCACCCGCTAGATACGCTAGTGCCGGAAAATCAACAAGCGATAGATTTTATTTTCATGTAAAGGCGAACCTGTTCAACAAGCTCCTCTATAGGGTAGCTTTTCAAATCTCCTCTTGCCATTTTCGTCTTACAGTAAGTGCAGTGATTGAGGCAGCCTGTGTTTATCGCTAAGACCTTAATAGAGAACCTTTATTCTAAGGTTACTGGGAGCGAGTTCACAGCTTTCGACACCGGAGAATCGGAGAGGTCAGTCGAAACACACCTTACGTCGGTTCATCGGTTAATCGACTCCCCAGAGTCGCAAGAATGAACGCGGCCCAACCCAACGACAAGTTTAAAGTGAACGAGTGACCAACAAACCTCTACAAGCTCATTCTTTCGCATCTTCGGTAGGGACAGGCCTGCATCTGGACGTTTCCGACTCAAAAGCCGTACTGAAACATTTTGAATGCACTGGATAAAGGAGCTAAGGCAATCCATAACACCTAACCTGTGTTTCCTTTCAGCGTTTCTTCAACCACCTCTACAATCCGATCGATTTGTTTCACGCCAACGATGGAAACGTTTTTCAGCCATGGCTCATCTGGTGCCGCCTGCAAAAGCAACTTTCCGGTTAGCCACCGATTCCCATCTGAATTTGCGAGCAAGTCATTGCAAACCGAAAAAATACAACACGAAACTTTCCGATTCTTGCTTTCCGATTTCCGGCGAAGTTGCTGAGAAATAGGACTATTCTTTTGCATAGGACTATTCGTTTACATTCCGCTTATTTGGATTCCCAAGTCCTGATACATTCAAGTTTATCTGCTGACGCTACTCCAAGCATTGTGAAAAAATGAACTGTGACTAGCGAAGTTTGGAGGGTGCAGGACGTCACATCCACACAGGGGTGGCGAAGAGGCATTGGAAATGACGTCACAGAGCGGCACTCGCACCAAGATCCGCTTTGTTCAGCGTTGGTGTTTAAGTATATCAATTCAAATAGCTGGGAAATATTCTGCTGACTTTTTCTCTTAGAAGAGGACTCAATGTCCCACAATTTCGAGGAAGCAAAGCGATCAAAACAGTTCAGCGAGGAAGCAAAGCGATCAAATATTACAGTTACGATGCCCATCACAGTGGACTTTTACTAGACAAACAGTCCAGCACAGCGCTAAATTAGGCATAACTACAAACACAAAGAGAAACATCACGTGCTAGAGGAACCAATGCAAATAAAAGACCATTAATCAAGTACACACACGTGACAAATGAAGCCGAGGCGCCTGGCAAAACATTCAAACTACAAATAGAACATTGGTAATCCATCAGAAACCTATGAACAAAGGGATCATTCGTAGGCTGGCTTCCTACCGTGACCTGTTTGGTCTGAGAGTTTCATACACATCACAATACAGATAAAGTCCAGTCCAGCGGAATAAAGCTCCCTTCTCCTGGAGCTAAGAAAGACAAGGGCAGGTTTGCCCCCTGAATGTTGACGCAAATAAGGTCCTGCGTGGGCAATACACAGAAATGGCAGGATACTTGATACGCTCTGGGAAAGATGACAATTTGCCTCAAGAATCCCTCGCTCAACGCATGACGTATATGTGAGCAGGTGTAGAAGGTCGGTAGTCTCAATTCCACGCCCACCACCTTATAAGGCTGAAAGGACGCGCGAATGGAACAGTGAGGGGTTGAAGAAATCGTTCAAAATGGGGAAAAATGCCTTGGTTACAAAAGCTGGCTTCACTATCGTATGCATCATGCTGGAACTGTAGAGCTTACCACAGACAGATTGCAGGATGTCTTCACCCTAAACCATTGATCTCATCCCTTTTGAACTGATAGCGACCTACCTCAGCAAAAACATTATGTCTGTTTAATATATTAAGCTTGTTATCGGTTGCTGATTTTTTTCAATTTTTCCTGTTTCGGGTACCCTATTGACAGGGAAATTTCTACGAGAAACATCTCGAAGGGAGATGATTATGGGGTGCGAAAAGGACAGTATTATGGCGTATCCAAATTTTTCGATACTGACGAGTTAGGCCTGACGATCTTGTTCGAGGCTGATACTATGCAGAGAAAAGGAAAACATGCAGTACAGGGGAGCAATTAGACATAGTGCTCACTTATTTGAGCTGTGACAGGGCACTGTGTTTCGGACTTCCAATGAGCCGTCGTATTTGCCCGCTGATTGGGCGCTATCGTAGTCGGGCTAGGGTAATTCTTTCTGATTTCTGATTTTCCTCTTTTCACTATATACCGCTCCAGTCAGCGGCGCTTCGTAAGTAAAAACTGTTCGGTTATGTAGGGGTCGTATTAAGCCAAAATTCACCCCAACGCCAGGATGCCCTGTAAATCTGATCTTTTGAGGGAATCAGGCAAGGCTTAGGCTCGGAGCGCAGACGATGATTAGTAATCAAAAGATAGTCTTACAAAAAAAGGAACTCTTAACCGAGCCTACACCTTGCTCAGGGGGAAGAAAACAGGGGCCCTGTCCTACATCAGAGCGCGAGGCCGATTAAGAGCTGCAAAAAGAAAAGGCGAGCGCTACACTCCACTAATGATAAAATCTGCTCAATCGGAAGTGAGATCACGTATCGGGTGGGAAGGCAAGTGAGGTAGGAGACGACCGTAGAAAAAGCACTCACCACTCCGAAGTCCCAGACGAAAATCTTCTACAAAAATAGGAAGTCTACAAAACAGTTTGCGGAACAGAACTGGTTGGATTTTGAAGAATAGCAAGCCTTTCTGTAGAAAGCAGCCCACAAAAATTGGGGGCCTATTGGTCCGAAATAGTTTTGGAAATTAGGAAACGAGAAAGAGCAAGGTCACTTTGAGCGTACAACAGCACGATGCATTCTATTAGTAAAACATGAATTCATAGAAGCCGGAGGAACCAGAAACCAAAGCAGGTCCGTAAAAGTTAGACGGTAATCGCACGGCTATTGCAGGCACACTGGCAGTGGGATAACTGAAAAGGGAGGAACACTCACAGGATGATCGTATGTTGCAGATGAGAAGAAAATAAAAAGTCAGTGTGAACTGGCTAACTTAATGCTCAATAGTTTCGTAGGCTCAGCCACAGAAAGGATGTTTGTAAACTCAATATCAATTAAGCAAACCAGTAGTGGTTACACAAATAGATATACAAAACGCCAAGACAAGGTCGTGGCGGCGGCGGCGTCAGGCTGAATACCCGCAAAATTCCCATCTGTATACCTCCTTTTTCCATCCTACCTATCACCTTCCAGGGTTTTCCTAACTCCCTTTCTTCCCAGAACGGCAAAATCAAAATGATAGACAAGGCTTTAGATTGACAGCTTGAGCAAAACCTCACCTGAGATACACAGCCTGCCATGACGACAAATTTGCCCTGTTTCTTCCCCTCTTCTAGAAGGTTACTAGCTTGCGTTTCTGATGGCGTTTTAACAGTGCAACTGTTTAAAACCCAGATCTTTGCATCAGATGACTTCCTCACGATCGGATATCCTGCCTGTAATTGTCCTTCGTCTGCTTTTATCTGGATAACTTAGCACTATCTCTGCCTTCCGTGATGAAAAAGTAAGTTCCTTAAACTATTGGGATGAAAACAAACAGCTAGCAGAATGACTCACCTTAGCTAGTATTCCTGCCATATACTCACTATCACTAGCATTGTGGGAGCAGCCCCATGTTTTCACCCATACAGGCGTCACACCGGGTACAAAAGAGTCCATTTGACCAAGATCTGCAGCATCTCGTTTCGACCTATTAGTTTTGAATGGATTAAATAGGTGCCTACATCAGCATATAAACCCACAATTAGGAAAAAACCGCGAGTGAGTTGTTCAATATCGGACGTAACCAACACGAGTTCCGAAGGGTCACCGAACCCAAAGTCATTAGCTATGGAGTATTAGTAATGATTTCTGGCACCTCTGAAGCGACTTAGCCGCTAATCGTAGCGTGGACCAAGCAGTAAGGCTATAATAAACGTGGTAACGATGAGATGGAGGGAGAGTACAGTGGCATTTTTGTGATCGAAGGTGCTCTAAGGCGCTAAGGGCAAGGTCCGTAGAGCTGTGGTAGGCCTGAGATGCTCTACAGATCGGATGCTGGCCCCTAGGGAAGAACCACGCATGAGGCTTCATTCCGCTGAAACGAGAATGTTGTAGGCTCGCATTTCGACTGTTCCAGAAAGAGGATGGAAAAGACTTCCCGTCCAACACAAGGCACAGGAGCAGTGATTAGCCATGGAGTGGTCCGTTGCCTTTCTTATGGGGTGCAAAAGGGTCAAGCACTGCATTGGTCGAGGAAACTTTTGCTAAATAAGATCTCTTCCCCCATATTTTCTTCTTATGTGCTACTCCTAACCGCGCAAACACCCGCCGTTCGAGCGAACGGGGATAGTAAAGCGGGCGAATCAGCGACGAATATCTTCCTGACTAAGGAGTCGAAACCTGGAGTGGAAGGCTGGAGGAGTCGAAACACGAGCCTGTGGTATATGCACGTGCTTAGAAACCTAGAGTAGCAGGGCCAAGCCTGTGTCGACGAAGCTTTCACGGGGGTCTCGGTTAGTGATGGAGAGGTTCCTTGCTGATTTTCCCGTTTTACTATCCCCATTCCGCTCGAACATTTCAGTGTTGGTATTAGCGTGGTCACGAGTCTCAGCTAAGAAGAAAATATGGGGGAGAGGATGTTATTGAGCGAGTTTTGCTCACCAGTGCAATGCTTGACCTTTTGGGGATCACCCCATAAGAAAGGCCTCGGAGCTGGAAGCCTTGGGTAAGCAGCAACGAGGAGCTCCAGGAAAAGGATGGAAGGATGTCAAGGAGTACCTCACCAATTGTAAGATAAAGACCGTGGAGGAGATATAGTAGGGAGGAAAAGTAAAAACCACGGACCCTGCGACGGCGCGCGATTAAAGCTAAGGAGAACGAACATGAAGAAGGTAAAAACTCTCAGTGTAAATGGTCTGTAGTCCCAGCAATTTAGGAAAACTCGGTGTTTTCTAGTGACCGAATGAAAAGGTCTCACCTTATTCTTCACTTGGATTTCATCCAATTTTCTTGCAGCACCAACGTCACGTATATCAAAGCCATCCTCTATATCTGCCATGACACCTGAATCGTTGAATACAGAAAAGATCTTGAAAATGTAAAGAACTATGAAAGTCTTGCAAGGCGAAACCTTCACATGATTGTAGGATGGGGCTCAAATCAGAAACTTGAAAAATCCCGGTTGCTTTTTTTATTTAACAACAAACATTTGACAAAAACTTTGGGAAGAGGTGAGAGATTGATACTTGAGACGTTTTTGGATCTGGAGTTACACAGCCCAGTGCTTAGACATGCAATTCTAGCGCTTACTTGTCCTGAGCGACAAAGCCATCTCTTTGCTGCTACAACTGTTTTGTTTTGCGGCCGTTCAGTTGACGTCATCAAGCGTGCACTGAACCCCCAAACAACCCAAAACCAAGAGAACCAATCTTTGAACAAGAAAGTACTTTTCTTGGGAAGAATTTGTGAAACCCTGAGCTTGTTCCCTTAACAAATCCCATGTAAACAGAATTCATGGCTTATTAGAAAACAACAGAGCACCCACGAGACTTCAGTAAGAGGTGGCAGATCACGCTCACGTGGTTCAGAACTGCCTGCTTTAGTTTTTGCTCTTTAGCCAAATAATGATCAATTACACTTCTTGAAGTCCCGTAGCAGAAACATACCTTACCGTTAATCATCTTTCAACTATCTTGGGAACAAATTATTAGCAACTATTCAGTTCACGCCATCTTATTTACATCTCCTTCTCAAGTGTGAATTCATAGGCCATGACCTACGAATGAATGGAAGTTGCCTAGTATATCAAAAGGAAAATTTCAATTAATTTGAGAAAAGTGATTCAGCGAGCGCAGAAGGTTCGGCCCCATTAAAAATGTTGAGTTGTGGACATAACGCTTGGTTCCAGGATTCGAACCTGGACTTCACGATCACTGAGCTAGTAGGCAAAAATTACCCTTTAGAAATCCTATCGCTTTCTGCTCCTCAGCAGCGGTATTCGTCACAGTAATGGCACTTCGCAGATTGTGGATCACAGCGAGAGGCTCGTATTCAGTCGCTGGAGGGAGGGCAGATTTTTTTCGGGGGAGGGGAGGAGGGCGGAGGGCGAGTGTAGGAAATTTTGAAAAAAAAAGAAACGGAAAAGGGAGAAAATTTAGGGAGATGGCAGGCACGATGAGGGATGGGGAGGAGGGAGTTCGTACCAGAGGGCACAATTTTGAGGGTTGTAGTTTGCAAAATCTTTCCCCAACGGCAGGATACGCCCTGGGCACAGCTTATACAGCTAGCCCACGAGGCCGCTAAGCGTTAACTCAGGTCCAGAAGCGCACGGTCATTGGCGAGCCAGTTGTTTTCTCATATCTCTTCACCCTTGCAATAACTTACCGTACCACCGAACTGCAGCCAAAACCAGGAGATATCATGAAAGCATGCCAAAAACCAAAATTTTTTTCTCTTTCCTTGGGGAGGGTCATCAGCACATTATGGTAACGTAAAAAAAGCAGTGAGTGGAGGAACAGTCTGTCAACACCCTGTCACGATCTCTTG